TTCCTCTACCAACACCAGCCTCAGTGGGAACACAGACTAATTGGTTCATTGCTTTTTAAAAAGATGGATACTTAATTAATCCATCAAATGTGAGAGCTGCAGTGATATAGAATGATGGCTCTGTGGATCAAAGTCACTACAGGGATTAGGGAAATATGGTGGAGGCTTGAAGACAACCATGCTCCAAAGCCTCTGGTGAGAAAAATCCTAATAGATGCTGACTGACACAGATGTGTGAGATGGAGGATATGGGATATCATGATAAGCCTACTGATGTACCCCAACCATATTCTTTGCTGCCGTGACCCAAGGAAATTTGTAACTAGCGAGAATAAATAACTAGAGAAATAAGTAACTAGAGAAATAAATCTAGAAAAAAATCCACAAATTCTGTCTTTTTTTAAAAAAAATGTATCTTATATCTAAAATTATTTGTAACTTGTGATTATTATTCACAAGTTATTATTATTATTTTATTTAGCATCTGTGTGGTGCTATATGGGTTGTAATAATAGATCATATTGTATATGGATGGATGGATGAATGGATGCACGGATGGATGTAGATGTGATCTAGCTCTGTTGCTATTTGTTGACTTTTGACTTCCTGGTTCTTTTCTTTTTCTGAGAACCAAACTGAATCTTTTCTTCACTTTGCCGACCCTGTGTCCAAAGACCTGCACTGGGTGCCACCCTCTGAACAGGATGACATCAGTCTGTTCCCTCAGTCTGCTCAGGTTACCTTGTCCAAGTGTGGAAAGAGCTGCTGAAAGTTCACTGCATCACTCTGCAGCAGTACGCTGCTGTACATGCAGTGAGCACTGGGGCTTCTGTTAACCCCACACTCAGGAAAACAACCCTGGCTCAGCAGCTGAGGCTCTCCCTGTACCCGGGCTAATATTGTGATCTGTGCCAAAAATAGCCTCTGACGGCATCTATGGCCTCTTCAAATCCACTATCATGTCATGGACTCAAACCATGTTTGTTCTGCTTCGGTGCATTTGCAGAATACAGAGATGGCACTCATAGTAACAACCCGACCAAAAACACAGACTGGAAAAATGATGGCTATCTTATCATGAGAGAGGTTTACACCTGCTCTGTTATAACCAGCAAGGGAACTTCTACTGAGCAGACAGCACCCTGTAGTATTGTAGACAGGGTGGAGTAGTTCAAAACTCCCTGGATGTCATTATACAAGGGTGTTGATTATTTAGTCATCAGGTAAAAAGGCATAGCCGAAAGCTGAATGAAAAAAAAAAACGAGTTCTTAAAAACTAACGGCCAATAGTTTAGTCAAGCAGCTGCCAGTTAATGTACTTCAGCAGTAAAAACCATTGCAGCAAAAAATCGGTCTAATTATTTTTATTAAACATTTAAGCAAAGGGGCTGGGTGTCAAACATTTCCCAAGTTCCTTCTCTCCACTCATATGACTACAGTATACGAACAAAATGTGTGGTGTTTATGTATAAAACTACAAAACAGTTGCATTCTCACCAGAGTCTTCTAACCATTTGTGTCCAGTTCACTGGTAAAAATGTTTACCTTTGGGAAAGAATATACTTACAAGTAATATGCAACATGGACCACTCGTGTTTAACAGTGAAAGAGCAGTATTTAGCAAAGGTCTGTACAATCTGTCCTGCTGCTTTTTTTTTTTTTTTACATTTTTAACATAAAAATAGTAAAACATACAAAATGGTACATAGTAGTAGTTCATGGTGCATATCACTTGTAATAACATTTTTAAAGGATTAGCAAAGTCTAGGTTTGCTTTGTGTTCAAAGCAAATATGACCCATGCAAACATTGACAGGGCTGCTGCACAAACTGTACACAGTGTGTAGGGACGATGCCATGCTCAGAGCACTGGATCAGCTCAGAGCACTGGACTCGAACTTGGGCCTTCCAGACCCAAGTCCGCATCCTTAACCACTAAGCCACTACTGCCCCAGTGACCTTGAACAACAGCAAATACCTTTTAGTTTGATGATTGGGCCAGACCCAAAGGTCACCATTTGTCAACACACTTGGCAACTATATTGGACTGACGAGTCAAGAAGCGTCATACTGTATTTGTATGTAAAAACACATTTTTTAATGCACGTTACAAGTGAATAATAATTAAATATAAAAATTATATTCGTTTGGATTATCATTAGACAAATATCCAGCCGTTAACTTGGTTGCTTTTATCAGCAGTGTGCGATAACATTGAGTCCTGTCCCCGTCGTACAGCAGCTTGGAGTAAGGTCAACAGCAGACACTGTTCGACCAAAACAATGACATTTTCTACGAAGAAAATACATCCCGTATTTCTATAAGAAAGCCGCAGCCATGTGGACACATTTTACAAGCCAACGCCGTTATTTACGGGCCCATGGTTCAATTACTTGGTAATTTTGGGACGTCCTCTTCTTGGAGACAAAAGAACGGTGACGCGCGGTGTCTGGTGAAGCGGCACACGTCTCGTTTCCCAGCATCCACCTGCCCTCCCTATCTCCTTATTCGCGTTATAAACAGCTGCTGCCAGAGGAAAATGTAGCTCGCTTGACTCACCCAGTACACCGGAGGAGGTCTGCGGTGCTGCAGCTCCCGTATCCGGCCTGTCCGCGTCTCCTTGCTGGGCTCGGTGTCGGTGCCGGCCGCTCTCGGAGCCATCTCCGACGGTTGCCGCACCGCTGGCGGCAGTTGCCGCCGCCGTCCCCGCGTCGGGCATGCTCTCTATCAGCGAGGAGCGACGCGAAGTGAAGATATTCTTCGGGAGATTGTGTTCCAGTCGTGCATCTCAGGCGGAGTGTAAAGCATGGAGGTGGTGCCGGGTGTTGGAGCGAAGGGTTAAGTGAGGGTGAAAGTGAGGTGAAGGTTGTTGGTGACGGTGCGGCAGTGGACCATCCTGATGGTGCTGCTGCTCTGGAGCAGGATGGAGAGGGAGGGAGAAAAAGAGGGAGGGAAGGTGAAAGAGAGAGAGACTCTCAGACACAGAGAGAGGAGGGACAAAGAAACGGGAGAGTGGCTGAGGGAGGGGGGGACGACACACACCTTGCAACAACCATCCCTTCTTGTAATCCAACAATAATTATATTATTGTCTTTTTTTTATTAATAATCTTTTTTTTATGAAGGAAAAGGGTCTTGTAAAATGTAACAATTTAATTTAGGAAACATCTCTGATTTCACCCTTGCATGAATACACAAAACATTTTACAAATATAAAACGCTTCTTCGGGTGTTATGGTCGTCTTTAAATAGCCAGTAGTCTTCTTGATAAATGACTTGTGTAATTTAAGTAGTTTTGAACAGGCACCAGGCAGATCTTCAGTGGGAAGACCAGCCCATACCGTATTATTTTCCAAGCCCTTCTGTACAGATTTCTTCAGATGAACTGATCCGTTGTTTATGGTTCATTCTAGGGTGTTGTTATGATACCAACCACTCGCTAAATACTGTATATTTCACTATTTGCCTGACCAGGGCCATTTTGAGTTGATTTTAGCATCTCTCCGAAAGTATTCATGCCCATTTGTTTTTATTAGGTCTCTCACACACTTCTGGATTAGAGCTGGTCTACTGGTTTAGACTAACAATCTATGGATCTTTTAAAGAATTCAATACATTTACATTTACAGCTAATTAAAAGTGTCAGTATAACCTAGTCGTTATTGTGCACGTTTTTGGACTATGGGAGGATTCTATTTCCAGATTTGAATATTCTGTATGTCTATGATCCATGTCACAAGTTCAAGTACAAACAACGATGGTGTCCAGTCACGTCATATGTCAAATAATAGTCCCTCCTCAAATGTTTCCGAAGAAAGTCCACACCCTGTGCAAAGTCTTCTAAAATAAACACCAACTGTGTTAACTTGGTCTATCCATCCTTTACTGCTTGTGTACATGAAGACCAGTCATTAATCATACTAGCGTGCAATCTGACAAGTGGAACGGTTGACTTAGTGTCTCTGTGTATGGAGGGTGATGAGAATTTTTCTCAGCAGAAAAACAATTTGTCATTGTCATCAGAATTCCCTAATTAGCAGTGGTTTTGGTCAGAAGAGAGAAGAAAGAGAGAGAGATGTTCATTTATTGATGTTGCTCAGCAGCTGTGAGGTGGCAGCTGTCATGCTTTGTGCTCAGACTAAGCAGTCCATAAATTATTGAGATCAGGTTAAAGATTGCACCCTGGGCTTCAGGCCATGCCTCTTCGGCATGCACACAGTGTATTTTCTTGGCCAGTCCAGCTACATGCTGTGTCTCACTGTGCAGCCACACAGACGTGCTAGTAGCCTCCCCCCTTCACCCTCTCCACACACACACTTACCCTTCTCCCATTTGTATGGCACTAAGCTCAGTTGACGCTCATATGCTAGCAGAATATTGTGCTTACTCACCATGCTCTTGACAGCTGCAAGACACTGCATTTGGGTACACACAGAAGTACACATTTATTATCTGAGCATGTTTTCTTATATATATATATATATACATATATATATATATATATGTCAATTCTTGGTAAAATTGTTTTATTTCATTTCTAAAGGTGGAGATGTAATGTAAAATATTTGATGCATTTAAATTAGTTACCTTCTGTATTTTCTAGCCATGTGCCTCTCCTGCAACAGATTTAGCAGTTAGCCCAATGAAGACAAAGTCAATACATTTTCTGTTCAAGTGTACCTGCTGTACGTTTAGTCCAGGCAGCTTTAAGAAGTCATATTTTGCTGATTGTGGTTATTCTATTCAGATGGTTGTGTACAATAAACAAAGATGCTCCTATACTTGTTCACTAGATAGTAATGTACACGATTATTACCAATACACTGCTAATGAGTAGACTCCGAGATCAAACTCAATAACCTTTAAATTGAAACAAACCGCACTGTATGCTTTAAAACACAGCTTACATAAATGGTTCTGTACTATAAACAGTTCTGTTTTATTATGTTAGGTAAGTGTCATGTTGACACTGTTGACACGCTAATACGATCAGGAAATATTAAAATAGGAATAAATACATAATTAAAATCCATGTTATTATATACATATTTGAAGCTGTATTATGTGTATGAACACATTTGCAGTCACAGTTATTCCTTAAATATATTGAATTAAACTCTACGTGTACCGAGATTAATGGAAATACCTATCGTGGAAAGAGCTCAATTGTGAGCGAAGGGCAACTGTTTCTACACGGACTGCAATGAACGGTGCAGTAATAGGCGGGACTTGATTTTGATCGACATGTTGTAAACGAATAGGAACCTGGAAACTGTCGTCATGAAAACAGCGACAACTAATCACAAGAGGGAGTTAACCGGTAGTAAAGAAAGGCATGGGTGTGTTATTGAAGCTTTTAGGTTAAACGTGACACTTTGTGTGGTTACTAAGTGTCCACGCCAAGAAACCCGACAGGATGTTCACTGGTTCCATATTAGTTTTATTAGGAAAACAAACCTATGAAAATCAGTAGTTTGCACAAGGACGGCGCAAGTTTAACATGTCAAATATTTGACTTGATAACAGTGTAAAATGTTTCAGATGTTCTGTCGTGGGATATTGAGCTCTGCCGTCCACTCACGTAAAGTCAGGTTTGTCCTCATAATTCGGTTTCATTGTGTGGTTTACGGTCTTTATGAACGTATTCCTTGGCTTGTAGGAAAAACAAATATTTTTCGTCTTCGATTGCTTTTATTCAGGAATAAACATGACTTTAATTAACACTTCATATAGTCAGGCTGCATCCAAAGATACATTTTTATTTATGGCTTTATGGTTTTAAGAGCTGCCATTGTGTTAAACATAATTCCTAATAAATTAAAGTAAAAAAAAAAATCAATAAATGAAAGTTTAATTAACAATTTTCTTTATAAATCTCTTGTCTTCAGCAGAGGTCATCTGTCCTGGAGACTCCAGTCCACCTGTGAAGCATTTCCAGCTGGACTAGCTGATGCCGACACCATCTTTGCCCTGTCCTCAGGTCATGGCAGATGTGGCGTGGCAGTGGTGCGGGTCAGTGGTCCAGCTTCGGCTACTGCACTGAAATGTATGGCTGGGCTCAAACGTAACCTGCCTCCTCCTCGCACTGCCCTGTTACGGAGCATCACAGACCCTAAAGGCAAAGAAGTCTTGGACCGAGGACTTGTTCTCTGGTTCCCAGGTCAGTTTTATATGTCTGGGCAAATCTGTGCTTAGGGAGGAATGAGGTTAATATTAAACCTCATCTCCTGTCCTTTTCTGATAATATGATACTATGTATTATATTGAGAGATGTTACAATGGGGGGCTTGATGTATTTTAGATATTTTTTTAGAGAAAGAGAAAATAAGCATTCCTTTATCTTTGAATGCCTTGATCTACTGTACTGTCTATTTGGCAAAATAAAATAAAAAGTGAAAGTGAAAGTACTTGCCATTATTGACTCAATACATCACTGCACACAATTGTGACCTCTGCTTTTAACCCATCACCAAAACGAGAGGGTGGCAGATCAAGTGCCCGGGGAGCAGTGTGTGGGGACGGTGCCATGCTCAGTGCACCTCAGTGGTAACTTGGCAGCTGGTGGACTCTACCTTGAGTCGAAGACCCAAGCCTGCTTCCTTAATCACCAAGCCACCACTGCCCTTTAATGACATCATGCTACACATGATTTTTATATCTTCTAACTTTCAGGAGATGGCAGATACACAATTGAGTTGACAGGAAGATCATAGCAACTATAGGGTTAGGACTGTTGTTCAAATGTCTTTAAATAAAAAAAAAATACAAGAGAAATGTACTATTTACTTGTGATAAAATTCATTAATTAATCTATGTTGTCTTTTGTGTGTGTTCATGCCATCAGGTCCTCACAGTTTCACAGGAGAGGACAGTGTGGAGCTCCACATTCATGGTGGTACTGCTGTTGTCACTGCTGTTCTTCAGGCTCTAGGTAAATAAAACTCTGTCTCATATACAGTAGCATAACACAAAGAGTTATATGCAGTAAATTACACATACATTCGGGGCAGTGGTGGCTTAGTGGTTAAGGATGCAGACTTGGGTCCGGAAGGCCACCATCTGCCAAGTTACCACTGAGGTGCTCTGAGCACGGCACCGTCCCCACACACTGCTCCCCTGCTGCTTAAAGCTGCCCACTGTTCACTTTGGTGATGGGTTAAAAGCAGAGGTCACATTTGGTTGTGTGCAGTGGTGTCCTGTGTCACAAGGACAAATAATTCACTTTCACTTCCACTTTCACTTTAAGCAATGATTGCTTGATTAAAAAAACACAAATCCATTGTATCGCTTCCTGTCACAAAACTAAAAAGAAAGAGAAATGTATTTTTATGTAGAATATACAGTATATACGTATATATATATATAGACCAGTGGCCGATTGTTTCTGCATTACTCTCGTTTACCCACTAGACGGCAGCCTTGTATAATTAGAAAACTTAATGAAAGCACACCACCATAAAATGAAAATTAAAAGTTTTCAGTAACCTCGTTGTATTTATTTCAGTAAATGCAACGAGTAAATAACAAAAGTCAATATTTTATTCTCACACTCGTGACATTTTTTCAGTTTCCTGTTTTTTTTAGTATTATTGAAACCAGTCAGCAAGTATAATAAACTATTTAATTTGCAGTAGTTTGCAGACCATGACTTCCTTATTGGTTTTACGCTGACCCTTGTGTCACCCTGGAAACCTTAAAAATGTTTGAGAAATGACAACGGCACCTTTTTCACGAGCTCTCAGTTTTACATGTTTTCATTTTGGCTGAACCCTGAGTGACACGTTTAGGTTTCATCCTCCGTTTCTGTTTCTCTTTATGTGTGCATTGTGTGCTAATGCATGTCCTTCTGGTACCTCACACATTTTTAAGATTGTATGGTGTGTTTTCTCAGGAAGCATGTCTGGCATGAGGCCTGCTGAAGCAGGAGAGTTCACGCGAAGGGCCTTTCAAGCAGGAAAGCTGGACCTGACAGAGGTAGCCTGGGGGGTTAAAAAAAATACAATGAACAAAAGGGGTGTACTATATATACTCATTATATTGGTATATAACATGCACGATGTCAATGGGTGGAATGAGTGTTTTCTTTTTTTTTGAGGAATTAATGGTCACTCAATAACATGAATGGCAGTATTGTTTTAGTCAAGATAAATAAAAAGAAACCCAAAATTTGAACATAATCATGAACAATAAATACGTAACAAAAAAATAAATATATATATATATATATACTTGGTGTGTGTAAACCTTTAAATCCTAAATTTGGAAATAGTTCATTGAAATCTTATGGGATGTTATGTTTCATTTAGGTGGAAGGACTGGCAGACCTGATCCACGCTGAGACGGAGGCTCAGAGAAGACAGGCTCTCAGACAGATGTCAGGAGAACTCGGACAGCTCTATCAGAACTGGAGCCACAGACTGAAACAGGTAAACAAAGTTGCCAGCACAGGAAGGTTGATGTTAGAACAAAAATTATTTGAATCAAAACTGATGTTACATATCATAGCTCTGAAATTACTAATTCACTTTTACAACAACAAAAATGTGTTGTAAAATGTTGAAAATGAGTCTACAGTTTCCTCTCTATCCATAAGCTGGTAGAATATGTAGATGTCGATATAGAAATTGGAGACATGACTTCAATTCTTTGCTAGCATTCCCCCCTGAACTGTGGTGTTCCTCAGGGTTTTGGCCTGTGTTGAACACTTTTCTTGCCCTGTCTTCAGACACATCCAGGTTAACTATATTGCCTTCTTTCATTTTCATCTGGACTATGACTATATGAGTCACTTTCATAACATCACGTTCTTATTTCCTTTCTGACAGCAGAGATAACAAGAAAACACTAATACTCAGTCATATTGAAAGCATAAACAATGCCAAAGTCCTGGAACTATCCCTGGAGGAACGTTATTCATGTTCATACCTGATGTTGCTCAGAAACAGGTTTGGAAATAAGCTCCCTGTACTTTGGTCGTAGGTCACGTCTTGGCACTTTCAAATCCAAACAATGCTCTCTGTTGTTTTTGTACATGTGCAGCTGCTTTTGCGTGTACTGCTGATGGATGAACTTACGGGAGTCTGAGGCTTCCTGTTTTCATGTTACTGCAGCACTTATGCATGTATTTTGTGTTTATTACTGAGAATCGAGCATCAAAAGGACAATTATTTGTGTACAGAGAGAAAATGATATATCACTATGAATAAGGACAAGATTTGAATGATTGAATCAGAAATTAAATTTAAATACAATTTTTATTTCTACCAAGGGAACAATTTAATTTTTCCAGATTCATAAATGGAAATCTCGTTTTTTTGCTCTGTGCAATAAATTTATTGTGCACAATGACCACAAAATACAGTTTTATACCAGTTATAATTATATGAAACATCACTCACACAACCTATTGCAATATTATTCTACATTAAAAAACATTAGTTGCCGCACTAAGACTGTTGCTACCATTACATCATTCTATTTAGGAACATCTTGTGCTTCCAAAGTGTTCACTGTCACTCTGTATTGTATGAGGACTGAGTCACTGCCGCTTTGCTGTTAATACAGACCTTCCTGAGGAAAGCAGCAAGTAGGCACTCTGAGTGGCAGCTCTATTTTTGACTTAAAAAGAACAACATTTTTTTTTCTAAAGCAAAGTTCGTACTGTAAGGTGCTGCCGTTTATCCAAGTGCCAACATGTGTTTTTCTCCTTTTCTGACCATCTGGCTTTGTATTGTTTTTGGTGGATCAAAGACCAACCACAGCAGACATGCAATCAATCAACATATAGATACGTGCTGTGGGATTGTTTCTTCTTATCTGTGCAGTTTCCTGAAGATAGATTACTGTGTGTTTAAAAGAAAGTTTAGTCTGTCTGACTGATAAGATAAACTAAGTGGTGTTTGAAGAATAATTCAACTTTAGCACAGAGGCTGCTCTGTGTCAACCCTCCTGCACGGTTTTCTTAAAGGTCCTGATGGTTAAAGTTATAAATATTACTTTTTAGGTTTTTTATTTACTGGGGTTTTATTTTCTTAGACAAAACAGATGCTTCAATGTTTTGTTTTTTAAGAATGTATTTAAAAATGTGAAGATCAAATGCAGTAACTTTAATTACAAATATACGTCAATAAACAAAATATGTTTTGACATCAAATAATATAACCAAATGTTTATAGAATCTTTCTTGTGCATTTTAGACCAGATACAGAACTTTAACACAAGGAAAGTACAAGAACAACACAGCACAAGAAAATGTTTCTTTTTTTTTAAAGCCTTGCCAGTAATGAAGCAAATAATTTGTTAGCAAGTTAGCCTACAGTATGTATATAGTTATTATGACAGATAAATTGTTGCACACGGTGACTAAAAATTTAATGGGATTCAGTTTTTATTGACAAATATCAGAAAATCAAAAACTGTTTTCTTGCTGTACCATTGAGGTGCATCAGAGCAGCAGGTCACTGACCATGTGTGACTTTTTGACCCAATGGATTTCAGCCAAAGTCTAATCTAATGCGAGCGGGTTTGGAAAATTACTTCATTATTTTGGCACCAGATGAGACCGACCGATCCAGGTCCTGTCCCTAGATACCCTGTTGCTAATTGTCAGGGTTTTCTTTTGCAGCAGTTCCTAGAAGCCATTTGCACAGGCCTTTATTTTGTTTTCAGAGTTGTGGATATCCTTGTAATCAGAAGTAAGCCATCTGTATGATGCTATAGGTCAAACCCTTATCTGACACTCAAACAATGCTGCTTTTTTTTTCCACACTTGGCGTCCACATTTGTGAATGGACTAAAAGGACGGGTTTCTAATGCTTCCTGTTGTTGTGCAGCTATACTATTATTTTGATAATGTTTTCCAAATGACAATTGTGGTGCTAATGGGTGGTGATATTTTTCAACAAACACTTTGTATCCTGGAAATAAAATGTTCGGCTGCTAGCAGCTCTGCAAATGTATCCTGGAAATAAAATGTTCGGCTGGTAGCAGCTCTGCAATGTAGCATATGGTTGTTTCTATCTAAGAGTGCAAATGAAATACTTAATTTATTTATTAGAGACGCTGTCAAAATTTGAAATTTGAAAGTTAGACCAGAAATATATTTGCAATGAAAAAAAAAATTAGCTACAAATTTAGAAAAATAAAGTATCCAATTGGAGAACAAAGACATTAAAGACATAGGAGATCTGGTATTAGCCAAAAAATAGATTAAAATTTGCCAAAAGATGAATAAGTTAATTTTATAAATATAAAAGTAAAAAAAAAATCATGAGAAAAAAATCGAAAGATCTAAAGGTAATCATGATTAATCCACATCTACCCTGTGATTTATCTGTTTAAAAATATTATAAATCTTGGAAATACATAAAAGGTGTAAAACTGTAAATTAAATAGCTGTGTTAAAAAAAAACAATTTTAAAGGAATTATAAAATACAACCAAGACAACGCAGGAAGTTGTAAGAAGTATTACATTTTTTGAAAAAATCCAAAAGTCTGCTTAAATATTTGCCAAAATTAACCACAAAGTTACCCAAAAATCAGTAAAAAACCAACCAACAAATAGCTACAGTATGACCAAAATCTTTTTTTTTTTAAAAAAAACCTTGATTTAGCTAAAGTTTGTTTTTAAAACTTTGTCTTAAGATAACATGTTTTTCATGACAAACTTTATAGTATGCATTTAAACCCATTCTAACCCCACGCCTAATCTGTGTGTTATAGTGTCTAGCTCATGTTGAGGCCTTCATCGACTTCAGTGAAGACGAACTGATCGAGGATGGGATCTTGAGCCAAGGTTTGTGTACACTTTCTGTTTTCCTGTGTTCTATACAAAGCTAACAGGACAGCGACAGTGATCCCAGGGGCTTTAGAGGGAGGTGTTTAAACTGTGTGTTTTCTATGTGACAAAAGAAGAGTATGACTGCTTTCCTGTTTGGATCCTTAGATGTCATCTTTAGACATTTGCTGCACAGCAGGGAGAAACCATAGACATCAGGCTGCTCATTCCGCAATTTCCGTTAGGATGTGTGAATTGCAGAGCAGGGGGACGGTAAAAGCATTGGTGTTACCTTCAAAGGTCACCTGCCACGCCACTCACAGAAATAGTGCTACCGGCACCACCATCCCATGTTCGTCATCTAAGTAAAGCTGTGTGTGTCTGTGCACGTGAGGGATGGGTCCTAAGCCTGTCGCCTTCTGTCTGCCACTGGCAGAGTTTTCAGGGAGCCTCGGATGCTGTGAGTGTTTGAAACAATAAAGCCCTGGGAACTGGGGTTTGTTTTTTGTGGCACGGAATGCTGGCTTTGTGCAAAAATAAGAATGACTGTGGTCCAAAAATAGAAAATAGGGTGAAAAAATCTATACGAAAAAACATTTCACATGCCACCTCTTTTTTCCCCACTGAATGACTGGTGCTTTTCAAAGATGTAAATAACTAAATAACTGATTTTATTGTTATGTATTTTATTTAATTGTAAGGAAACTGATTTATTGCCTGCACGTTGTACTGTCAAGATTGTTTTCCCTTACAGTCAGAAAGGAAAGAGACAAGTTTGTGACCCATTTTGGTCCAGACGACAGTTGTCAGATGCACAAAGACAGGTCATCTTTCTTCAAAAGCCAGCAATTCCTTTTCACAAGGCCACAAAAGTGACATTAAAGCATAAATGTTCATCATGTCCTGTTGTCCTGTCCTGTTCCTCCTCGTATCACCTTTGTGTCTCTTTCCCATCTGGTAGTGGACACATCAGTGTACAGTTTACTAACAGAGATGGATCAACACCTGAAAGATCAGAGGAAGGGGGAGCGGCTTCGCAGTGGAGTTCAGGTGGTCATCGCCGGAGCCACCAACGCAGGGAAAAGTAGTCTGCTGAACACACTGTGTAAGAAAAAAAAAAAGCATTTTTCAATTTTTTTATGAAAGTTGTGCTTGGTTTTTATCAAATTCTTAAGAAACTAAAATATGATGTATTTTGTGTTTTTGACAGAAATTATACACATGGTTACATATTGTATGACATTTTGATGCATTTGGGACTTCTTTCTCAAATGCTCTCATTTGATGAGTAACATGCAGCAAAGACAAAATTCTGAATTTTTTTTTCTTAGCAGCATGTTTTGGGGCATAAAC